TGGAAGCCTACTGAAGGAGCTCGTTTCCTATTTCCTAAGAGCAATGAGAAGCCACTCAATGTATATGAAGAAGGAGGGGTAAAATGATCAGATGTATTTGTTTGTTTGGTTTTTTTTAAATCACTGTCTACTCAAGAAGAGTTGAAACCTCAAATGACAAACCCTGGCATGTCAAAGGGGATGGGAATAGCCCAGCGGCAGCAGAGCCAGGCAAAAGAAGGTGGAAACAGCTGAGAAGTGGAATGTGCATACCTGAGGAAGAGTACTGCAGAGGGAAGATACTGGGAGGCTTAGTGTTACAGTAACATTACATGTTGCCAATCACTTCCTCATTTAGCAGTGCCTTTAAAAGATATCTTTATTGGGGCCGGCCCGGTGGCGCACTGCTACAGTGTGCCGCTTGGGAGTGTGGTGGCGCTCCCGCCGAGGGTTCGGATCCCACATACAGACCAGCCGCTCGCTGGCTGAGCAAGGTGCGGGCGCAACACTGAGGGTTGCGATCCCGTTGCCGGTCCCGGTCCGGTACGGGCGCGACACTGAGGGTTGCGATCCGTTGCCGGTCACGAAAAAAGACAAAAAGGAAAAAAAAAAAAGATATCTTTATTAAAAACAAAGACATGACAGGAAAGATTGATTCAGGTAAGAATCATCAGTAGATGCTAAATCAATGGGAGAACTTTGATGAGGAGCAGGATATTTACATGGTCTTAAAGTGTCTCTCCAACAGTTGCTAATGAGTTGAACACAGAAATAGTTGAAGATCTTAATTAACTTAGGTGATCAAAACCAATAGCTCCATGAGGGAAGATGAAACTTGTGTGCCTCTGGACATGACAACCTGAGCATGCACCATCATTTATGTAGCATCATGGCTTGCAATGCATAAACTCAATAGAATCACTAGGAAACATCAATCAAATGTTTCAAAGAGAAACACTTTACTTAAAAGAGAGGGCTGTCTCATTCAAAAACTTCAATGTTATGAAGACAAAGGAAGGCTGAAGAACTCTTTACAGGAGACATAAGTATCGGTTTCCTATTGCTGCTATAACAAATTACACAAATTTGGTGGCTTAAAACAATACAAATTTATTATTTCACAGTTCTTGAAATCAGAAGTCCAAAATAGGTCTTACTAGGCTAAAATCAAAGTGTCCATTGAGGCTATGTTTCATCTGGAGACAATAAAGGTGAATCCTTTCCTTTGCTTTTCCCACCTTCTGGAGGCTGCCTGTGTTCCTTGGCCCACGGCCCCTTCCTCCGTCTTTAAAGCCAGCAGTGTAACATTTTCAAATCTTCCTCTTTGGCTCTGATATTCCTGCCTCCCTTTAAAAGGGCTCATGTAGATTAGATTGAGACCATGGGATAACCCAGAATAATCTTTCCATCTCAAAATCCTCAACTTAATTACATCTGCAAAGCCCCCTTTGCCTTGTAAGGTAACATGAGAGCACTTCAAAAAGTTTATGGATATTACAAATCTTTCCATGAATTTTCTGAAAACCCCTTGTATATCCACAGGACAAGACTACTTTGGGGAGCTATTACTCATACGATATCAAAATGTAAATCCTAGATTGGATCTTGTATTAGAAGAAAAGAAATGGAAAAAAAAAAAAACAGATAAAATTGAAATACAGTCAATATATTAAGGTATTCTAATTGTTGTTAAATTTATTTATGCAAACGTACTGTGTAAGATAATATTCTTTACTCAGGAAATACACACTGAAGTGTTAGATGTAAGTGGCCATGATGTATACCACTTATTCAAGGGGTTCAGAAAAGTAAAAAAACACACATGCACACCCAGAAAGAAAACACTGATAGAGCAAATGAGGCAGAATGTTAAAAATAGGTGAATCTGGTTTAAAGGGTATATGAGTGTTTTTTTGAATATTCTTGCAACTTTTCTGCAAATTTGAAATTCTTTCCAAATAAAAGGTTAAAATAAACCTGATGAACATATAATTTACTTTAATTAAAAACCAGTGAAGAATTCTTCACTCAAATATCACAAGCAACTCCTAGTTTATGTAAAGTCACAGAAGTTAGAACAAATGCAGATGTGTGGCACAAATTCAGCAACTTGGTTTTTGTTCTTTCTACAATAACATTACTAGTAAATGAGAAAGACCAGAAATGTTTAGGTATTTTTAAAGTTAGGGAGTTAAAGAAAATCCTAACAGTCTGGAAATATTATAGTCTTGAAGAGTTTAAAATAGAATTGTTGATTATTGTTAGATTTAAATACTAACTGGTTGACCACAACCTGCTATTTCTGAGAGAGAACCTGCTAGGTAATTTTCTAAGAAGGCCCTTTGAAAAGTGGATTCCCCTTTTCAGGAGTATTTAGCTGATTTTTAAAGCAAAAAAAAAAAAAAAAAAAAAATATTTTTTTTTTTTTTTAAAAAAAAAAAAAAATATTTTTTTTTTTTTTTAAAAAAAAAAAAAAATATTTTTTTTTTTTTTTAAAAAAAAAAAAAAAAAAAAAAAAAAGTATATTCTATTCTAGAGCTTTCTGCTGCCCAGTGCCTCAGGCAGAATTTTATTGCTTTGGCCCCAGGGAATTTTTCTGGCACCCACTCCCACTCCACCCTCTATTGTTTAAAAACAAAAGACAGGGCAGCTGCCACCAGCTCTGACCACTGACAAATAATCAGCAGCCTCTCCGCTGGGAAACTCCTCTGGTCTTGGCAGAGAGGAACATTTTAAAATGAAGGTGAAACAAAGGGTAAGACCCCTCTTTCTGTCCAAAGCTCCATGCACAGGCTTGTTTTTCTTGCCAACTGTGGTGGCTAACAGCAGTGTTTCTCCAGCTGTGCCAGGACAGTGTGCCAAGATCACATAATAGCAGACTTTTCTCAATTACAGAAACAAGCAAAAAATTCGTGGCAATGAATCGGTTTTCTTTTCACAAGTTTGGCTTTTGCTATCACCAGCCAATACTGAAATCGTTGATTTAGCACAATCTATGATTATCCCAGCCCAAAATAATCTATTTAGTTATTTGCAGTTTAACACTTGGTTTTCAAAGAGCAGCAGGATTTCTTTGAATAAGTTTGGCAATCCCTGTCCTCAATGCTGTGGCAGTCAGGGCCAGGGTGGGTCTCTATTACCTAGAGGCTTCCCTTCCGACACTTTCCCTCAGCATAGTAATTACTGTATTTAGAAGCCCACATTCTATAAATTAGGGTTAAGAGTCAGATGGCCTGGAGGTGTCTTTTTAAGACTATGTAGCTTTCTAGTTGTATAACCTTGGGCAAAATGCCTCTGGGCTGTAAACCTCAGTGTACCATTTGTAAAATAAGAATATCAATAGCTATTTCACTTTGTCACAGGGTTTTTGTAATCATCCAAGGAAATAGATGTGAAATCATTTTGCAAATGGAAAAGTGTTATAAAAAGGCCATATAATTCTGGCCCCCCCACCTCCCGTTACTATTAAAGTTCTTGAATAGAAGGCCATTGCCCAATTGAAGTGCATTTGTTTCTTAAAATGTCTGGCAAAGTGCTGGTTCCTAATCCGCGGTTTTGGTTAGTTTTTCTTAACCAAGTACTTCCTGACTGAGGCACCAAATGATTGGATTAATTAACATTCAGGCTGCTATGACTTTACATTTCTATTTCCAGAGAAATCCCACAAACTCAACAGGACAGGCTCGAATTTAGGCTCAGGGATAACTACTTCAACATGAAGATACATGTTGTAAGGAGTTCTAAGGAACTTTGGGTAGTACATGCTAAAATGCTTATTAAAGAAAAGAAATACAGCCTTTGACATTCTCTTGAAATGCATTTTAAGCACAAGCACATTTAAGCAAAAGTGCTTAGATTGGTAATACTTTTGATTGACTGATCCACACATATTACTCAAAACCTAAAATAACTTGCACAGAGTAGGTGTGTACTCAGTGTTTGGTAAATTATTGAAAGATGAGAGTTGCAGAAAAGAGAGAAACTCAAATGGTGTTAAACTTACTCAAGAACACAATACAGTAGTTAAAATGAATCAATATGGAACAACCTGTCAACAGCAGGTTGAAAAATATAAGCAGGTTGCAAAGTGGTATATAAAGACATTAACATAACAATTTTAAATATGCAAAAAGCTTGATATCTTAGGTATGAATGCATGCTTTGCATTAAAGGTATAAGAGCATGCAGTGGTACTGTGTACCATTCTGCTCTACACAATTCCAGGGGATGCTGTCCTCATCTCGAGCCCTGAAAACATGCACTGGAATGAAAAATCCCAGCTCAGAACAATTGTTACCACTAGGAGACAAAGTGGGGACTAATGGAGATAGGCAAGTAACATAAACAGGGCTTTAGTTATATTCATAATATTTCATTATTAAAAAATATATTCAAAGCAAATATTGCACAATGGTAATGCATGAGAAGCTCTGTGATGGGTATATAGGTATTACATTATTCTCTATGCATGAAATATTTCTTAATGTATCCGATACTATGTAAGGAGAAAAATAATTGAAATTTCTTGGTTTCAGTAATAGTGTAGTATTTATAATTATAGTCACATAAACTTTTATTATAAGTGTCTAAAAATCTATTGCGCTGCTAATAAATTCAGAGGTAAAAATTTTGTATTCTAAAATTAAATAGGAAAGAGAAAGACTTATATAAGACCTTTTCAGGTATGAAAAGAATTTACATAAATTTACATTTAAGCCTTTTTGGGGGATGCTCAAAAAAAAAAAAAGAAAAGAAATATGTGGCTAGCTCTAAAGAAGATGATCTTATTTACTTTGCGAGAAAAGATCTAAGACACATGAGCTGAAATGCTAACTGATAAGGTTTAGCAGTTGCTCAAGGAAAAAAAGTGAACTATGCAAGTCAAATTCCAAAGATCCCGTCTTCAAATTTTGACAATTAGCAAACTCCTACATGGCAGATAATTTCTTATCTCAGTATGAGTGATCCCATCTCTTCTGTCAGCTACTAAAATGAAACTAAGAAATAAACAGTTTACATACCAAAACATCCATCCCGGGGACATATTTGAGGGTTATCATATAGTCTTTTGGAAGATTTGCCACCTACAGAGACCAAAAAGAAAAAAATTCATACACATCAATTAATCATATTATTTTTAGTTGTTTGGAGAGAAATACATACAAAGCTGTCATGCTTTTTAAGTTACCAGTGGATTTCAATATTTACATATATACTGACTTTTCATCCTTGATTTCCCTTTGTAATCAAAGGCACCCTCCAAAAAAAAAAAAAAGAAAGAAAAAGAAAGAGATAATATAAATCTTTTAGGTTCCAAATTCAGTTATGATTGGCTAAGCATAATTTATTCAGTTTTGGAGACTTGATATGAATTTCCACTTCCATCTGTGTTCTTAGAATTTCCCATGAAGACTATTTTCCTACATGTTCTGCTATAAAATTAGAAATAAAGTATGATTTTCTTGTCACATGTTCTCGAAGTGTGGACCTCAAAGTGATGTCTCAGTATCGACAAGAAACCTGGGAGAAAAGCAAATTCTCAGGCCATACTAGACCTACTGAATCTTACTTAACAAATCCTCTAGTTGATTTTAATGCATACTCAAGTTTGAGAACTACTGTTCTGTGTTGATCCTACAAAAATGTCAGTGCAACTTCAAAAAAATAATGCAAATGCTTTAAAACATAAATAATTTAGAAAGATTCAGATTTGGGATATAACTTAATCTGTTTACCTTCAGCTGAACATTCAAGATGCCTCAAATGTTTGCCTGGCTTCTTTTAAAGCTTTAAAAAAATGTCTAAAATATTTACATCAATCATTGTGGCATAAGTGACTAAGCAACAGATTCAGGACCAAGGAACTTAGAGCAAATCAAACTCTTTGTATGTTGGTTCCCCTTATTTGGAAAATGGAGATCAAGTTACCTATGTCAAATGGTCATTCACAGTTGAGGCAAGTGAATGTGCCAAACACACTATAAACATTGGCAAATGACCTTGGAGACATATAACCCTGGTATGTTATACACTTTTAGGCTCTTTTAACTCCCTTCCTACACACAGCACCAGCTCTGTATCACTGTTAAAATTTCCAGCTGAATAGACAACAAATGTCTCAGCCCATTGCATATTGAATCAGTACACAACACAAAAAAGTGGTTTTTCACCATGGCCTCTTCAATAGGTCTATTTTGCTTTGTAGACTTATTTTCCCCTTCATCCTGTCCCTAAAAACTTTATTTCCCTTGTAGAAAGCTGAGATCATGTGCATGTTTGCTGGCCCAGGTCATCTTCTACAAGTTTCCCAAAACATCACATGGTCTTGCCAATAGCTTCTAGAATCTGAGAACAATTTGCTGAGAAAAGAATCCCAGGCAAAGGCCAAAGTAGCCAGAGATGAGCCAAGATGGTAATTGACCCCAAGCTGCTCACCACCATCCTCCTTCCAGTGTGACCACCTTACATGTGTCAGCCTCGAGCTGCAGCAGCGGGTCTGGCTGTTTCTTCTTTAGCTCACTTGATCATACAGTGGTAACGGTGTCTGACACTTATCAAATTTTTACTATGTGCCAGGCACTGTGCTCATTAAGGGCTTAAATTGCATTACCATATCCAATCCTCAGATCTCTGTGACATACATTCTTTACTTGACAGATAAAGAAATTGAGGCTTGAAAAGGTTGAGTAACTTGACTGAGGTCACACAGCCACCATGTGTTAAGTCTGGACTATAATCCAGGTCCTTCTGACAGCAAAGCCTTTCCCTTCTTAGCTCCACTCCACATTTTCATCTGTCCTCTGGGCATTCGTCCTCAGTATTTAGCACTTGGGAGTCTCCATTATCATCTCTCCTCATTCCATCCCCAATAAAACAGTAGAATTCTTGCTGCTTATTGAAAACACATTTGGGCTGCCACAGAAGGTGACATTTTTCACTTACTTTTGGAGTTAATTCTCTTTTCTTTACACTTTCTTCCTCTCAGTCAAGCCTCCCACCATATTCCCGTAATTTCTTTTGTCTTCTGAACCTTTATCCCCATTTTTGAAGAACAAAATGACCTAGTCATTTTATCTAAACCCTGATGGTAAAGACACAACAGACACTTTTGCAGGTGTGAAAGCTGGAATATGAGACTGAGCACAGCTTTCTATTTTGTTATGAACCAACCATGTAAATTCAAGCCATTCCAGATTGAAAAATGCAGCAAGAGGTGGCAGGTACTCTGAACAAAAGCTACTTAACAATCTAGCTTCTTCTTAAACATAATTTACATTATGTGCAAAATACAAGTATAGAACCAAATGAGTTAGTATTTAGAAAACTTAGAAACTGAGTATATATCTAAAGAACAGAGAAAAACATAAGGGATATGCTGGCCAATTCCATTTTATGAGTAACTTATACATAAAAATTGGTTCAAAGAAGTCAAAGAAATCTTACAAGAAGTTCTCTGACCAAGACACTGAAATCTCCACACTGTTCTGCTCTGAGGGGTGTGTTTCTGCATTAAGCTGATATACTGAATATTTAATTTCTGGTGGGACTAAAAAAAATATTTTTGAAAAGTGCTTTATAATTTACAACAATATACAATCTCTACCACAACCCCATGAGATATATCTTATTAAGCCTATTTTACAGATGAGGACATGGAGGCTCAGAGAGGTTGACTGGCATCCAAGGTCATAGGCATCAAGAGTAATTGGTGGAGGGAAGATGCAAACCTTGGCTCTGTGTGGTCATGCTCAGCACACCGATCTAGACAGCAGTCTCCCCTTGATTACTTTCTTGGCTTTTGTTGGTTCCTTTCCAGTTACATTTGGAAGATAACTTAAAAAGTCAAATTGTATGTAGATAGCTGTGGTTGCTTCATAAATTATATTACTTTCTAAGCATTTGTATATGTTGAATAGCATTCAGAAAGCACAGATAACCTTGCAATAAATTTAACTTCTCTGATCTATATTGATCATATGGAAAATCTTATAGAGTAGAGGAAGCCTTTGGCCTGGAACTTGGGAGATGTTTCTTAGAGGCAGTACATTTAATGTAGGGGCCAACAGCACAGGTTCTGGAGACAGACTGCTCAGATTGGTTCCTGCCCTTATCTCCTGCTAACTCGAAGATCTTGGGCAAGTTACTTCATCTACTTTAGCCTTAATTTACACATGTGTCTAGTGGCAATCATAATAGAATCTAGCAAATGGATTTATAAGAAATAACTCATATAAAATACTAAGTGCTTAGGTATGGTATATAAATCAGTATGAGTTTCTATTAATATTAAACACAAGGGAATCAGGTATTCTAGATAGAAGAAGGAAAGACAAAGGAATGGGAAAGCTCATGGTGTGTCAGGGAGACCCAAAAAGAGGTAAGAAATATGCCAGGAAAGCCACATTGGAACCTGTTTAATGCTGGGCTAAGGAAGTTAAATAGGAGGCAGTGAGGTTCAGCAGAAACAGTTCTCTCACCAGCACCCTACAGCAAATTACTCCTACTGAGGCACGTCGCATCCTCTCTGTGCAACTTCTACTCCTGTGTGTAAAATAAAAAGGGTGAACTAGATAATAAGTAAAAACTCAGTGTGGTCTGACTTTCTCATATAAGCCATAGTGCAACCTTGAACATGTTTAAACAGGGAGGGAACATGCAAGTAAATTTAGGAAGATTAGTGTGGAAGGATGGATTGGAGCATGGAGAGAAGAGAGAGGCAAAAAGCTAGAAGACCACTAGGAAAGTACTAAATATGTGTTAAATATTTAAACAGAGACTAGAAGCTAGAAAAGCAAGAATCTGGTCTAGATTCCAAGGAGGTATCCTGTTGGTAAGGTTAAATGAGCAAATAACTAATTTAATGAGTAAGTAACTTGCTTTGAGTTAATAAGGTTAATGAGTAGGTAACTTGTTTTATTTTGAAAACAAATCTATCCTACTAAAATAAAGTCAGGGAAAACAAAATAGAACCTAATTGATGGAAAATTTTACCAAAGGCCAAATCATTCCAATGAGCTTTGGTTTGGAGTGTGAGGATGTAGTATTATGCCAGATTATAAAACGTATAAAACAGCAAAGACAAGTTAGTTGATGATAGGATAAACTTTACTAGATGGGCCCCATTTGCTATCTTTTTTGGATGCCCTGAAGATTGACCATACTCAGTGACACTGGAGAAAAAAAAAAAATGCATAGAAGAAAAGCATTTAGAACTGCTGGAAACAGGGCCAAGAAAAACTCTTTGCAAGCCAAACCGGCACTGGCTGCATATCAGACCCTGAAGGTATTTGGAGTCAGGAGAAAAAGAAGTCAAAGTCAGAACACTTAACTTCCTCTCTAGATCTCTGGTTTAAAACCTTTGGATCTCATAATTCAGATGTCACTGAGGTCCCTAAATCTCACAAAATCAGTGGCCACTTGGATATCCTTGGCAAGACCCTTACTAGTCTCAGTTGTCTCTTCCAATTCCAAGAGAGGAATCAAAATGCAGTAGTGGCTCACAATTCCCTTGGTCAATGTTGTGCATATGTATGCTCCTTCTGGGGAAAGAGTCCCTGGTTTTCAGTCTCATCAGATCCAAAGAAGTTTAAGAATCACAACTACAGAGGAGAAAAAGCTCTACACTTCTCTCTAAATATCATAGTTCACTCATGTGCAATAGCTGACTGTAATGCTGGTTGTTCAGCCTTCAGAAATAACACAGGAAAAAGCTTTTTGCTTTTTCATTTCTCCTGATAAATTATTTCCCATTAATATTGATTAAAAATCTAAATAACCAGGTCAATTACCTTTAGTTTTCAAGGGTATCTGTTTTTTGTTTGTTTGTTTTAATTTTTTTAATATAACTAAATTAGTGATTAAAAAAAATTAAGATGCAACTCCAGGCTTTTCTAGGTCATCTTTTCTCAGTAAAGAACACCTAAATAAAGGTGGATAACTCTTGTATCCTTTCAAAAAGGAGACATTAAAAACTTTTTTGTCTTTTTCATAAACATACTTATGATGATGATTCCAATTAAGTAGCACTAATTTTGAGCTTCTACAATATGATAACTTCTTGATCACAATGAGATAAAGAAACTAC